ACTTCACCTCAGTCACTGATTCTACCGTGATAGTCTCTATGATCAACGATGCGAAAAACATGCTGCGCACTTAATGTGCGTAACGTATCAAAGTCATTGGTTTATCATAGAGACGATTTCGGGCAAAAGAAATTCTCATGGTGTGACGGGCGGTGTGTACAAGGCCTGAGTACATATTCACCGCGGCATGCTGATCCGCGATTACTAGCGATTCCAACTTCATGTTCTCAACTTGCAGAGAACATTCTGAACTGAGGCAATGTTTCAGGATTCGCTCCGCCTTAAAGCCTTGCTTCCTATTGTCATTGCCATTGTAGCACGTGTGTAGCCCAACCCATAAGGGTCATGCAAACTTGACGTCATCCCCACCTTCCTCCAGTATATCACTGACAGTTTTTTGTGAGTGCAGCACACCAATGCGATGTCTTAGCAACACAAAACGAGGGTTGCGCTCGTTATAGGACTTAACCCAACATCTCACGACACGAGCTGACAACAGTCATGCAACACCTGTATGAAGTCAAAGTACATCTCTTACGAGGAGTTTCTTTTATACGTCAAGGGCTGGTAAGGTTTTGCGCATTGTATTGAATTAAACCACATGCTTCACCGCTTGTGCAGACCCCCGTCAATTCCTTTGAGTTTCAGCCTTGCGACCGTACTCCCCAGACGGAGTGTTTAACGTGTTAGCTAGGTCCCTCATCGAATCGCCCCCCAAAACCACCGAGCGTAGACCAAGGACCCGTGGGATTCAGACGCGAAGCGTCTGCTCTTCGAGCCTTTGCCAAGGTGGAGAACGTCATGTGCTAAGAAATGAAATCCTTCTCACGTAGTGACTACGTAAGTTTGATCAAGCACAAAGTGCAGTCCCATTCACGGATCGAGGTCGGAATGGGATCGGGTGTTTTCACGTCCTACAATAGTACTCGGATACTCGGAATTGTGCTTCTCGCCTTTGGTAACTAGTCTAATTAGATCGACATTAAATCAAATCTGGGTATGTATATTGGAAATGAGTCAATCCAACCGCAGGTTCCCCTATGGCTACCTTGTTACAACTTCACCTCAGTCACTGATTCTACCGTGATAGTCTCTATGATCAACGATGCGAAAAACATGATGCGCACTTTACGTGCGAAACGTATCAAAGTCATTGGTTTATCATAGAGACAATTTCGGGCAAAATAAATTCTCATGATGTGACGGGCGGTGTGTACAAGGCGACGTGCTGAACTGCCCAACTGTGAAGTACATCAGCAAATGTTATAATCATACGTAAATGAGTTTTGGCTGGTAAAGGAGTCAATCAGCCGCAGGTTCCCCTACGACTATCTTGTTACGACTTCACCTCAATCACTGATTCTACCGTGATATGATCAACGATGCGAAAAACATGATGCGCACTTTACGTGCGTAACGTATCAAAGTCATTGGTTTATCATAGAGACGATTTCAGGCAAAAGAAATTCCCATGGTGTGACGGGCGGTTTGTACAAGGCCTGAGTACATATTCACCGCGACATGCTGAATTGCCCAACTGTGAAGTACATCAGCAGATGTTATAATCATACCTAAACGAGTTTTTGCTGGTACACTCGATTATCTACTTCTAATAAACGAAATTGACCCAATTCTAGATCATCCTCTGGAATCATATAACTATCAAAAGTAAGTGATTATTCATAAAAAGTATTATAATCTGAATACTCATAACTCCAATACCATTGATGTCCAATCACTTTGATAGGGCCTCGTTAGACACTCCTTACGGTTTCCTTGAGCCACAAGGAAACGTCCTTGTGGATTTTTAGGGGAATTTGCGGCGTCGTTCCACTCATCCTTGGGGAAGTCCCCCGGGGATGTTTCCTTGTGGCTTCCCCGCGGCCAGTTTCATATGTAAATTAGCGGCCGCGGGGTCGGACGTCCTTGGTCCAGTCTCTTTTGTCTGTGTGGAGGCGCCGTGGTCCACCGACGCGAGGCGGGAAACGGCAGACGTCGGGCGACGCGGAAAGAAATTTAAACCCCAAGGGCGTGAGCATTTGCAAATTCAAAATTCGAATGACCGCTGCGACGACGACGACGACGTGTGCCTTGCGGCGCGAGGTTGGCGTGCTGCGGAAAGTGGGTGAGCGGCGACGGAGGTTCAGTCCCCAGGCCGTTGCAACTGCGCGGGCAGCGTTTGGTGCTTCCATCGCCGTGGACATTTACACGCGTCGACTGCGTGTTGCTCCTCTTTGCCGTCTGCGGGACTGTCGACATAGAAAAGGGGCCGCCTTTTGATGCGTGCGAAAGTACGACACAACCGGCAGCGGAACGACGAGACCGTTTCGACGTCGCGGCTATGGAGGGCGGCGCAAAGGGTAGACACTATGTGTCCGAAATTGGATTCAACAGGGGTTTCCCGTTGAACGGTTCAACTCCCGTTGAACGGTTCAACTCCCGTTGAACCCCTGTTACAACTCCGCGCTAACCCGCGTTAGAACGGGGTTCAACTCGACCCGCAATTTTTTTTTTTTTTTGTCGAGAAATAAAAAAATAAAAATAAAAATATAGGGGTGTAGATTGTTTTGCGCTCTACATCCCCATATTTTTATTTGTATTTTTTGAGGATTTAAAATATTTTTAAAAAATCAAAAACCTAACCACACTCGAAACACATCGATTTTTTTTTTTTTTGAGAAAACCAGGGCGCGGTCAGGGTTATATTTTGAAAATACGTTTCAAACTGCAGTTTTGGAGTCCAGTCCCCTCTGAAGTTTACATTGCAGTCCAAACTTGTCGCGTGGCTGTCCCAGGGCAGAGTTTCTTACTGCAGTCTAGTCGTCCACGTCGGAGACCTAAACCGTTTTCCAAAAAAAAAAAAAAAAAAAAAAAGAGAAAAGAAGAAAAAAAGAAAAGATCGTGGCACTATATCTTCCCACGTTCTGGCAAAAGATTCACTATCAGTTTCCACGATAGATCTCGAAATGAGCAAAACGAGAGTGAATTTGCCCTAGAACGTGGAAAGATACAGCGCCTCGATTTTTGTCTTTTGTGCAACAGCTATATAGGGGCCCAACGGCATACACGGCCTGACAACAGTCCAAAGGCCCTGAGGGATAGACCGTTTTCCAAAAAAAAAAAAAAAAAATAGAGAGAAAAGAAGAAAAAAAAAAA